ATATGTATATGTATGTATGTGTGTGTGTTCCATGGAGCTCCACAGCAAATAGATCTGAATGTGGAGCACTTAATGATCGAAGCAATACCAGACTTGAAACGGAAAACAAGCAACGGACGCAGTCCAAAAAACTACAAATATGCTAGCACTCCTTGCTTTCGGCGATGAATGGTAAGCGCATGTAAGTGCATTGTACAGGAAATATTCAGATGAATATTCAGATGTGCCATTCCTGGACACATGCACTGACAACGCTTCGCCATACGTAACCTGCAACGATTACGGGGTCTCGAGAAAGCATTTCAGAGAAATCGTTCAGAGCAACACATCTTGGCGACATGCTCACAGAGACAAAGTTGATAGTGTCAGTCACAATTCTCGTGGAATCATGCTTGAAACCTTTGGTATTAACAAATCTGATTCAGTACCGACACCCTTGGCCATTGTGCATGTGAAATGTACGATTTCCGTCTGTTACGGAGCTAGCAATGTGTATGATGAGCATGCAGGAAAATCCTGGGGAAGTCTGCGTACGGAAAACTTTCGCAAATGCTCTGAAACTACTGGAGATGCTTCAGAAAATGATAATACTGTTGGCAGCAGTATGGCTGCAGAAAGTGCCGTAGCCGCAAGCCCTCGCTAGACTCCCAAGCAATGCAAGCTAGCAGGCCGCAATGCCCAACAAGAGGGAACCAGGTACGCCACTAGAATTGAACGCTTGAACTTGAGCTGCACGATGCGAAACAGACAGGCTGCCATGGCTGCGCCATTTGTGAAAAGGGCTTCTCGGGCCAGATCCTCCCGCTGGCAGGCCGCTTCATCACGTTGCCCATGAAAAGCGCTTCGCAAAGCTTTGGAGGCTTCGCAACATGGAAAAATGCACTGACTCACCTAGATAACTTGGGTATCAAGCCGAATTTCCATGGAAATTGCCCATAGAATTCCTGCAGAGCAGGAGTACACAAGAGCCTTACTCGCCGTTTGGATGCTAGAAAACTCAAGGGAAAAAGCTTGAGCCAACACTTACAAGTTCTGGCAATCCACACACAGCAAGTTGATAGTGGCGAAACCCCTGCGCCATCCATGAAGTAATATCCAAGCATCCTACATCTCACTCAGCACCTTCTCGCAAACCAGGGCCGCGGCAAAGCACGGGATCGAGCATGTTGAACGTGTGCTTGCTATTTAGCTCCTGTTCGCAATGCCAAGACGGAATTGCGGTTCCTCCATGGGAAGCTAACTCGCAAACTCTGTGCAGCTACAGCCTGGCATACGGTACAGGAACCGAAGCAGTCAGGTGCAAACTTTGATGTCAACGTCCAGTTGATTCAGTTGCATGAATGCCCACATCCTATTCGCGACTAGGATTGTCAAAGCAACATGCGTCCAGAAGAAGCACTGGTGGCGAAGACTGTGAGAGAAGTGCCCGGCACTTCTGCTCCTTGCAGGAAAACTTCGGGGACGGGATAAGAAGAGCTTAGATCTACTGCCATGCGCGGAATGACTCTCCAGGCTTCAAGTTCTCCCGTAAGAATGTTGCAGACCAGTAGAGTGGAGTCCTTAGGGAACGAGACCCCAAGGAGGAGAGAAACACGCCAATATTGACCGGGGTTTCCAAGATTTCCCAGGGACTCCAAGCCAGGAGACTGACAAACACAGTCCTCCACTTCCGGAAATCCATAGTACCCAAACTGGTTCTGCCAACAGTGGGCCATTTTCCACCAATATGCCTGCCATGCGCTTGCATCTACAGAATCTAATTCATCACTGTTGCTAAAACAGTCAGGCTCGCAGCGGTGTAGCCTCCAAACTTGTTGGTATTGGTCATCCTGGCAGCGTCCATAAGAACACTCAGAGTCCTGGATAACATGGCATGCATGCAGTTGCGACTCATCTCTTGCGCAACATTCCTCTGAATGCCAGTGTGCTGGTTAAATCTTACAGCAAGAGCCGTCCTGTTGTATTGGCTCGGCAGCAAGCCCGTGCCTATCAGTTGCCTGGCCACAGTTTCTTAGACTCAAAGTCCCACACATATCTGAGAATAAGGACACAATTGTTCAAGCTTCAAACACACCATTCAAGTACTCATTCGCAACATCTTCAGCAATGGAAATCTCAATTCTCAGACGAGTGCTCAAGCCATGCTATCCACGTAGCTGCAAGCCCCAAATGCTCAATATTCGAATGCAGATCATGTGTCGGGACACAAGACTCCAGAATTTCGCCTCAGACCCTCTACCAAGATCCTGCCTTTTTCGCGGGAGGTCACGGCCTTCACGTTGATGACCCAAAGCCTCTTGCCTCACACTTTGAACCACGATGGAAATTACGAGCAATCACGCTCGATCACCCTGCACCCCTTGTGATACGTGAAATTCACCGGCTTCAACAATCACTATCATTTTCGGCGACTAGGCTCTGACAGCTGTCTCATACACAAATATACGAATGTGAACTCATGCTGAGCAGCTGACTGCAACGCATCGTTTGCATCTTCAATCTGTCGTTGGCGAGCTGCAATTTCCTGACACCCGCTAAATTCAGGTTGGAAACACTTATTCTTGAAAGACTTGAAGCCCACAACGCACCCAATCACAGGGCGGTCGGCCGCTCGTATGAGCCGTGCGTATGTGTTCAACGCAGCTCCATCTCCAACCTCGGCTTGGTGACACATGCTGTGTTTGGAATCTCAACTTGGGCTTTGAATGATGGATTGAGTAGGCTCGCCATGAAACCTTCAACCCGACCGAAACTATTTCCGTATATATCTCCGTCACACGTGGCAATCCTTCATGGCCCACACCTGACCGTTTCAAACACTGTCACAACATATTTTCCTCCCCCAACCACTCCAAACCCACATTTTGAAACTCATGAAACGACAGTGATTGTCCACATGCTCATGAATTGTCTCAAGGCACGACAACTCAGGCTGCAGAAAAACAAGCCAACATTCCAACCCTTCACGAACCTTCGCTGAGTCCCGCACATCTACAGCCACCATGGGGCTTGGGACCTAAGATTTTCCTGCCGAATGCACTGTTGGTCTGCACGCGTGTGATGTCACAAATGTGTTGGTGCCTGAATGCTTTCCGAACTCTAACGATGTGTGCTGCATGCTTCATGTGAAACTCCCGAAAGTGGGTTGGGCCAAAGAAACCAAAGATTCTGCGTCAAACTAGCAAGCACAACTAGAGCCAAAACATTCGAAGCACCAACAAATTCTGCCACGAATGAATGAATGAACGAATGAATGTGAATTTGAATTTGAATGAATGAATGCATGAACAAACTCACACAATGTTCCATAAGCAGTTTGTGCTTAAATCTATTGCCATTTTGATTGCTTCTGCAAACATTTTGGAGCAACCACAACCTGTCACCGCAAGCTGCGTTGCCACGAACCCTATGCACACACCTTGCCACGAACGGTCGCACAAAGTATAGGTTGAAGCATGTGTGGGAGGACTACAACCAAAACGGTTTACCCACAACGCCCACACAGCGCTCGCCGACTCTCCCCCAAGTTGTGAAGTCTTCTGGTATCCTTCGATCTTGCATTCCGTATCTACAGAGAGACATTTCAACTTCTGGCCGCAAGAGACCCAAGCTGCTGAACCTGAAGCTCATGGAACGCGTTGCATATGCTTCTGAAGCACAACTGTGGCTGCAGGGAATACGCGCAAAAAGGCACACGGAAACCATTGCAGAGCTTGACCACTACAGCTCGGGATGCACAAAAATAACCCTGCGACCATTATGTCACCATCCTAATCCATACATTCTGTCCATCAGGCTTAGTAGAGGACAATAAATCAGCAGGTGGGTATACAAGGTATGAAATATTACAAATGATATAATATGATATAATTAGCTAAATATCATATAGTGTGGTATAATATTTTATAATCTGATACAATCTAATCTAATCTGATCTAGTCTAATATAGTATCATACCATATCAATCATATAACACTATACTATATTACATGTATATATACGTATATTCAACCAAGTGGAAGTGGCAGAACGAACAGAAAAGGAGCGTGAA